GCTGCTGTTTATTAAATGCTAAATCCCAATAGAGTATAATGTAATATATCACTGACAATACAAATCTGAACTCCAGGCAAATAGCTAAATCTACACATTACGCATATGATTATACATAGATTATATATGAACTCTTTTACTTGCCAAATGATTGTTGGCAGCCTGTCATGTGATTCAGCTACCTCCAGTAGATCTGGGGTCTGTGACCTTAACTGTAGCTGTGGAGCTACTGGTAGGGTTCCTGGCTGGTAAAATAATGGGATAGGGGGTGGGCCTTTATTATCTTAGCCCAACATGAAAAGTCAAACTCTTGTAGTTCACATACAACCTAACATATGTCAAAATATAATGCCATTCAGAATGTCCCAACACAGTCATATCCAATCTAAGAATGCAAGGTTTCTTGATTGGCTGCATGTTATGATACACATTACAGTGGACCTTTACCCATATCTTTAAAATGACAACAAACACACCTTTAGAAATGTTTAGTAATGACAATCTACAAACACATACTTCTAAATAATTGCCGGCTTTGTATTCTTTGCATACCTTATTTCTCTTTTCTTTCCCAGTCCTCTGACAGTGGCCATGTTTACTAAGGGCAGATTAAACTAACTCTCCTTTTACTTCTAGGATTTGTGGCACATGTGACTAACATGTGACTAGGACATGTGACCATGCACATCATCTCAGGGGGGGAAAATGCCTTTCCCTGAGATCTCATGAGATTGCAGATGGAAGTTCCCTGCAATGCTCTGCTGATGACAAGGCGATCCTAGTGTGCATTGCGTTGGCACACTGAAGTCATTTTGCCCTTTCAAAGCAGGAAGTGAATGCTCTGCAAGTGTAAGTATTTCACAATCACAGCATTTTACACCTGACATATATATGCTATTATCAATCATCATACATAGAGGGATGCATGGGTAGAATTTTATTTTTGAATGTAAAGATCTGCTTTAAACTATGTCTGAAATGTGGCTTTGCAAGTTGGGATTTCATCTAGAGGACAGCAACTTTAGGTATTTGACATTTTAAAGCGTATCTAAACAAAATATTGCAGTTTGTCAGTCTTTAGATGTGGTTGCTACACTAGGGATATCGGTCATTCACTCGGCTGCCCTCAGCAGCTTCGTGAATAGACCCCTAGGTTTCTTTATTTTCCCAGGTGACTCTGCAAGTAACACACTTCCTGTCCTAAGCTGACAACACTTACTCACTGTATTGTATCTAAGGAGCAGCAGTGTTGTCCCCCTAGGGCAGAAGGTGTGCAAGGACTACCAAACATCTCCCCTCTCCTCATCTCTGTGGGGGGATGTGTTCTGTAGTCCACAGAAGAGAACTTGGCAGGCTAATAACACTGTTAGCTACTGTTGGGGATTTCAGTTTACTGCATAGGAAGCTACAAGAACACAGGATCCTGGCAGTATTAACAGGTATTTTCTTTACTTGAAAATTTACTGAACCTAAAAGAAAACAAATGCATCTACAACTTCTAATAAATTGGTAAGCTGCAATATATTACATTTGTGTTCTTGGAGATCCAAGCATGGCAGCAGTGATACTGACTGGTGGCGATAAGCTGTGAGCTGAATAGTTGATTTAGACGTTGATGGCATTTTTCCACGTTAGCCCATTTAGAAATCTCACTGCTATCTTGTCCAGATGTCCACCGAGTAGAGCAACCCAACATACTGTCAGGGCTCTGAAGATGTGATTTGTAAGGATAGTTGACTATGCACAGCTCTACTTCTCATAGATAGAGATACAGAATATCTACAAAAATTCAGTATCAGTGAAACTGCCTTTTTTTTATAAACAATAAGTAATAATGGCACTCTCTGATTGGTTAGTGCCTTCCGGGGACATTTCATATCTTCCTGGCTGAGTTATCCTGTGCTTTCATGTCACTTGCCATATTGCAGTACATTGGTTGCCGATAATTTGGGCTCCTGGGTTTGGTCTCTTGTTTAGAGCATTTAGAATTTGTCAGCTGCAATATTTTGTGGTTCTATTATTAGGTGGAGTTCAATTGTTTTGGTTCTATATATATTTTACTTTTTTTATTATAATTTATGGAGATACATTGGACATTATGAATATTTGTTTAGCATGTTTAATAACATTATCGTGTTATCATAGCTAATTTATATCCTAGATACTATTGGACGGCATTGCTTGTCCCTTCTTTCCTTGCTAAAAGGGACCCTGTACTAAATGCTAACTGCAATTACTGTAAGCTGGTAAAATGTATACTGATCTGAAATGTGTAGGCAGTGCTTTGTAACCAAGAAAAAGAATAGACAGATCTAAAGCCTAAGCTACAATGGCAATTTTATTTCAACCTGAAACACTGATACAAACTGAAAACTGCTTATGAATCCTGTAGTTAAAGTGCAACTTAAGCCAAAAGTTTTTTGGATAGAATGGAGAGAGATTAGAACGCCTGTCAGGATTTCATTGCTGTCTGTGTCCCTCTTATGGATATTCACCTTCTCTATTTGTCCTGGTGACTGTTATCACTTAAAGTAAGAGAAAATCCAAAAATGTTGGGTTGTCATCAGAACAGGAATAGATGGGAAATCTTCCACTGGGGACACTAGTTCTGGTGACCCTCCTGACCACTGATTTATCTTACTTTTGATGTTTTTCATCTCACTTCCCATTGTGGCTGTCAGACAGAAAGTGAAGAGAAATTTCCCCAATGAGACACAGAGGGCAAAATAGGTTGACTGGTGTTATAACTCTTTCTTACCCTATCCAAAACCAAAACAAGTGTTGGCTTTACTTTTATTAACGATATCTCTACCCCATTGATTTGGATTGTGATTGTCAATACCCTATCTCATTTCATAATTTTTAATGGCTGATCTTGCATGACTGCTACACGCATTGTTTTTGCATATTCAATGACTGAGGCATTGTTACAACATACAATAATCAGCAATCACAGCACAATTCAATAGAGGAGGGGTGATGTGTATCACAGTAAAGTGCCTATGCTTAGGCCAAACAAGCGGCTTATATTAGATCTTAATTTTTTCCTTGCAAGGTATACATACAGCACAGTCACATATGGCTGCCGAACATCTTTAGACTTGAAGTTAACAAACAGCACGAGCACAAATCCATTGGAACAGATTCTTAGAAGATATATGTAGCATTCTCCCAATGCTACCAGCTTCAAAAAATGTGTAAAGTTCTCTTATACTGTATCATATTTTATGTATAATGCATCTATAGGTATATTCATATCAAGTAAAGCTTTCTGCTACAGTGAAGTACTGAATTGCAAAGTAAAAGTATAGTATTCATCTGGGATGTTTCTAGGGTGCTAATAGATTGGGGACACCTCTGAGCACACACATTTAAATGTTGAGGGGCTGGAAGAATACTATGATGACCAGTTTGGATAAAATCTGAGTCTAGGACTAGTAAAGACTTTTAAACTGAACCAAAATAAATTGGTCTAAAAACTGTAATGTCACATTATGATGACATGATTGAGATTACAAAAATCAAATATATTATCAATGCTTAGAAGAAAATAATTTGTATAAGATCAGTGCAGAACCTCCATTGTGTATAAATTGCATCATCTCCATATCGCAAAGAAGACCCAGATCACTCAGTAGAAGACCTGAGACACATGCCTTGGGGGCCAGGGTCTAGCAATGCCCCTGGTGCTTAGTCTATCAAAAATCCAGTACACACTTTTTATTCCATAAGTTATGTCCCTGGGATCATATTTTGTATTGAGTCTTAAAGAAGTTTACCTGCACCCAAGTCAAAATGGTGGACTATAACTACTTCAGAAATGCAATGAGTATATTAACAGCGTGGTCCTGAAGTGGTCATACCAAGATCACAGCTGCTACAGTAGCTGTGATCTTGGTACTGTTCTTTGCAGCTGACTGACAGTCTTAAAATACAAGTGTTTGGGTGATTGTAGTTTTCTGCAATTTAACAGGCATGCACAATTTTAAGGCTTACCACACCTTAGTGGTACATTATGCATTTTTTGTTGACCTGCACATGCTTTTTGCACACTATCGATGTAATGTTTTTGGACTCTAATGGTGCATATTTTGTAGTGCAAGGGTTAATTATACTGACACTCACTTGCATGTGATGATGAGTAAATGTTAGTGTGTTTAAAACCCTCTTTCTGGGAGAGGGATCTTGTCTCTATGAATAAGCCTATCTGGTGGAACACATGAGAGGCTTTAGGATTGGTGTGGGATGATTTTACTGTGTACTTGGATGGCGTAAATCTGATTTGTTCTATAAACTGTCGGATGTGTGCCCCTACATTGGAATTTCAAGGCTTACCATGATTGGTATCTATTTACCTGACACAACCCCTTCTTTTATATTTTACTAAAAAATGTATATTATATGCTGTTTTTGTTCCATAATATTATTTTTGTGTACTTTTCCAAAAAGTATCGATTTTATAAACATTTGCACTAGTATTTTGTGACTTCTGTGCATTTCCTTGAATAACATTTTTTTTTAAAATGCCTTCATGGTGAAAGTCTTACCCAATGATAGAAGCAGTCACCATACTGGTTTCTAAACACCAAACTGTAGGCGGACATTGCTGGGGATAGAGAAAGAGAGAAGTTCATGGGAAGAGTGCATTTATTATTATTGTTATTATTATTATTGTTGTTGTTGCAATTGAAAATGTGTTTGCGGGCATTATGGTGCACTTTAATTCAGGTTAACACACCTGAGAAAATTTATAGACCATGGCCTTTAAGGAATCACTTATAATAATATTAAGAATCTTGACTCTAAACCACAGTGAATCTTAGAATCTAGTATATTTGTTTGTTATCTTACAGCAGTGCTCTACACATTAATTTATAACACAAGTATTGGAAATACTGTTGTAAAAAAATCCCTGTAACATTAATGTTTCAGATATATATCTCTACTACAAAAACTCATTTATTTTCTGTATCCAGGACAACTGGTTTACAGCCTATGCTTAACATCATCACTTTTATTTAACCAAGTCCAGGAAAGCACTAGTGGGTTTTGGTCATTATGCAAGAGCATAGTCAAACTGCCCTTTTTCTAGTCCATCTACTCCATCTGCCCAGGTAGAAGTTGGCATACTCCGGTATGGGTCAAGAAGGATCCTGAAACACCTAACAATGAGAACACCCAAAATGATAAATAGTAAAATGACAAAGGCAAATGTGGTCTTTTGTTCCAGTGTCATTGAGTAGCTATAGGACGTATTCAGCGTAGGTAACATTGTGGAAGGCAAAGTCTCTGCGTCCATCGTCCAGGAAAATGGAAACAAACAATTCCAGAATGACTTTTTCCTCTTCATAACTTCTCCAAAATCATGGTGGAAGTACTTTGACTTGAACTGAGAGTCTGTAAAAGAAGAGGCATAGGTTTAGCTTAAAATACATTTTTCTTGCCTTTTTAACATCTAAGCGTTTTCCCATATGTTTGCACACCTAAGAAAGCATAAATATGTGTGTTCTCTGACAGTACAAGACAAACATTTTTAGTATTTAAGGATCACATTCAAAGCATATTTGTTCTTTTATTCTTATTCTGTAAACATATTTACAATGCTTTAATTGAATCTGAAATGTAATATTGTAAACTTTCAGAACTCTGTGCAAGATGTATTTTCCTCATTTGTGAATAGAAAATAAACTTGTGATGTATTTTCAGCATATTGATATTCAGCAGTGAGAAAACATGCCAGATCAAACTCAACTAATTAGTTAATTTCATTGTTTTCTCACAGAACAACAAAAAGACGAGGAATCAACAAATAAAGACTAGGGTGCAAGCTACTTGGTATAACAAAAGATTTGATATGCAGCAATTATTTGAAGGATTGCAAAGCAATCAATCATTAAATAAAAGCATTACAATACAAACATTGGTATATGTATACATATCTCTGTTACCTAATGCAATTTTTATGATTTTCCTGACAAACGTATAGATAGAGCTGTCAATGTCAAGCACCAAATTGGCTCCAGGACTAAACTGCAAGCCCCAACAAACATTTATGTGTTTTCTCCAGTGACCCAAATGCTCTAAATCCCCCACTCTAACTTGTAAATGACAACTTCCTGCTAGTGTTGAGGTCAGTCATTGTCTTAAAAGATTTTGTATTAAAAATAATAATAAAACATTTGTAAAATAAATTTTAAAAAGGAACCTCTAAAACCCTCAGAATGCTTTTAAAACACACTCCAGATCCCCCACTATAACCAATGCATTTCCCAAAATGGAAAATGTTGCTGAATGTCCTGATTTTCACCAAAAATAAAGGGACACATTAACTCTCTGTTTTGCCCATATCTATTTGTAAGTCCAAAAGGGGACATTTCTCAGAACTGTCAAGTGCCCCTCAACTGTTGTGCTTGAAAGAGCACCATGTTACTCCACATTAACCTTTTCTCAGCTGCCCATGTTGCTCCACATTAACCTTTTCTCAGCTGACCATGTTACTCCACATTGACCTTTTCATAGCTGACCACGTTACTCCACATTGACCTTCTCTCAGCTGACCATGTTACTCCACATTGACCACACTTGAGGTAAAGCCCAACAGAGGCTGAAAAAACAGCCTGGAGTACTGTATTCTTGCTTTCATTCACTGCCTGTGAGAACTGTTAGGCTGTTTCTAACTTTTTTTTATTGTGACATAGGGTGCTACACAACTGGAACACTAAACATCTGGGCCAACAAGCTGGCTAAACAATGCCACCATTGTGTGTGAATCAGAAGAGACAAACAAAAAAAACCCATGGTGTGATTATACTGCTTGTCTAGAGTTTATTTGCTTTTTACCTAATATTCCTTTTTATGTTTACCCAATAATGGAGTTCACCAAAGAAATTACATTCTGAGTGACTACTGTTGGAAATGTTGGATACAAAAACGAGGCCATGTATCTTCCAAGGGCAAACTTCACAGACTGCTCTGTTCAGTGTGTGACTGTCTGGTAATTCATAAAGATTAACGCTAAACTGAGCTGTTTACCCGCCTACCGATTTGTACTTCTGTCCATCCAGTTCTGCGATTTACACAGCACAGTCTGGCCAGAGGGGAAACCTGTTTTTTCTACTGCTGCAGTTAAGTAACACTTACAGGTCTTATCCCATCCACATCCTGTGTCTGGGGGTGGGACAGGAGGAGATGTTCAGATAGCAGTTCATATACAAGTGCTGATACTTGGCATTTTCACGAGAACTACCAGGGTTGCAGAGGTTGCAGCTGGGACCTGGCTCTGGCACTCCACCACTGTCCTGAAATCATTAGTCTTTATTGTTTTAGAAAAACTGTCACATGACAATAAACAAAAATGTATCAGTACTTGTATCTGTGCGTACTTGGGCAAGTATCAGTACTTGTACTTGCAAAAATAGTATTGGTGCATCCCTTTATTTATATTTATAAAAACAAAATCATACATTAAAACAGAGATGTACAAATCCCAGGAGCTCCGTATGCTCCTTAGAAATTATAGCTGCCTCCTAACTTTTGAATTTTTCTCTAGTCTAGTCTTGTAGCCAGAAAAGTATCTGTACTTGTACTTGTACCGAGTACGGTACTTGGTATCTGAACATCCCTAGAGGAGAGACCTTATCTCTCTTACTTTGCTCTCTTCTCCTCTAAGCGTAGCCCTTTTTAGCACATGACCACTGCAACACAACAGACTCCTTGTGCTGTGTCACCCTCTCCTCCTTGTCTGTGTTTTGGGGGGAAGCAGGGGGCTAATACTAAGTCAGATT